TCGGTTAGTAACTAGATTTGTAGGTGAATACAGGTGATTTATTCCTCTATTCAGTCCCTGCATGTGGGAGTGAGGTGGAAAAGAAAGAGAGCAGAGAGGGGAGGGGTGGTTCAGAGAGAGGAGTGTTTCTTTTCCAGTGTGAGCATTCTGAATTGTGTTTTATTCACAGAGGTTATGGTCTCCCGCTTGTCAAACCAGTTCCATCAAACTAATCCCACTGTGTCAACGTTGCAGGATCCAACATGTAATAGAGAGGGGGTGGGGGGTGGGGCGGTGGGTGTTCACGGCTCAAAGTTTTGTCTTCATCCCCAAAGGCCTGTCAGCGCTGATGACACGCACACGGATTCAAGCCGTCTCTCTCTTTCTGGACATTTCAGGGCTTATGCAAAACAACGCGAAGATGTCATTTTCTAGATTGTTCTGAAAAAGGAAAGTAAATCACACATTTTCTCACTTACCCTATGTGGTATCTAGTCATATAGACAGATTAGTTCTGGTTACCAGCAGCGACAGCGGGGTGTTGGGGACTCCGACTGAAGCAGGAACCACCGAGGTGCTTTTGACTATTTTGACAGGTGTTTATGTCCCACATCAAAATGAAGGCTGAGTTCAAAGATAGGTAACTACTCATGGGTCAGAACCATAGACTTTATATAAAGATGGATGAAGCCTCTGTAAACCAAAGGTTTCTGAAGAGCGGGTTTGAAGTGGGCTGCTGCCGTCGTCACCTTGGCAGGGCCTGACTCCTCTTAACTCCCCGAGGTGGGGCGTGTGTGGAGCCAAGACTTCGGTCCATGCTGGTTTAATAATTGTGGCAAGCATTAGCTTCTGTTAGCTTCTTTTGCACAGGTGGGCGTCTTACTTAAAGGCTAACCCAAGGCTAAATTATTTGCGGGCTAATTAGCTAGTCAACAAGCTAAGGTTACACAACAGACATGGTGAGCGCAGACAATGATACCTGCTAATTAGTGCTAACATATAATAAAATAATACAGACGCACAGACGTTCTGTTGGTTGAATTAACTACACAGCAAAGACAAATGATCTATTGGATATTTACACCCATTAACACCCATAAACACCCACAGGTGTAACGCACCTGCCTGAACTTTTATAACTTTCATTCACATCCAATGAAGCGGGGAAAAAGGGGGAACTTATTCAACTGTAATGATGAAACTTCTTAAACAGAATTAAGTGACCCTGCGGCTATGTGTGTATATATATATATATATATATATTTATTTAATTTTAATTGACTATGAGTGTAACTGGTTGTGGTACAGAACGGTGTAATCAAATCTTTGAGTTAGTGACAAACGAAAAACGAAATCCCATTCTCCTCAGTTGTGTTGTGGTCGCCACAGAAGACAAATACAAATACAGTAGAAACTGTGGGACTAAAAACCACGAGAGGGAAGTGAAGAAAAGTGTGTTTTTCTTTTTGTAATTTGGGTGAACTGCTCCTTTAAGACACGACAGTATCTCTGCTCAGTCTCAGTCTCTCATTACCAAAACGCTCCACTTTTAGAAAATTCCTTCCAACATCTGCCCTGCCAGCATTTATTCTGTCTTCTGTCTTTCCTCTAATACTCACAGCAGCCGTTGCCATGCAACCACTCACGCCCGCATGCACACACTGTACGTATGACCGGTACTCAGTCGGCTGGTCGCTGAACGGGCTGTTAAGTATGGATGAGCACCGCACAGTAAACACTGACACGGCTTTGTTAGAAGCGACAGTAACGGGTTGCATTAAGTTTAAGACGACCACGTGTGAACGTTGCAGGCGGTTTGTTTCTCCCATGCAGCCGGACTGCGGCGCAACGTCCTCTCTCTCCTCCCCACCTCTGTAATTGAAGCAGTGGTATGCCAGGAATCCTTTGGAGTTTCTGGCCCAGAGGGAGGTGGTGATCTCTTCACTCACCAGGCTCTGGGTCAGACTAAGTTCTCTGTGGACTCCCATGCCGTTTATGTGCCGATATAAGCCTCATCGTAAAAGCCTGACGTGACCTCTGACCTCCCTGCTCTGGTGCGATTAAGAGAAGCTCACCATACAAAAGAAAAAAACAAAACAACAAAACAATGGAATTTATCTGAGACGTATAAACAGTGCAGTGTTGTAGCTCAGCGTGCTCTTACACTGAGAACTGAAAAACCGTCCTCTCGTCACAGGATCACATGACTGCGGCTCTGAGCACAATGAATTCACTGTCAAAGTGCTTCTGAGATTACCAACAATACGACTTTAATTCCACCGCTCACTCTACAGGGAACACACGTAAAAATAGTTCATGGCAGAACGGCCTTCAATTCCAGAATATTAAGTAATAATATACATTATATAAATATATAGATCGATAGTTCGATAGATCTCTAACGTGATAAATCTCTATTGGACAGAGGCAACCAAGCGTCCTCTACAGCTGTAGCTTTTAGCCAGCAAGAGGCGCCTTTTACTGCCCAATGAATGCTCCAATTAGAGCCACAAATAGACTTGAAGACAGACAGGGAGTGTGTGTGTGTGTGTGTGTGTGTGTGTGTGTGTGTTTCACATGCCTGCGCATATGCAGCAGTATAATAAATTCACGCTGCACAGAAGGCCGGTCCCCGCTCTGTAAAGAGCTGCTTTAGTAATAAGCGTCCGAGCATGTGTTGGTTTCTCTCTCGGCTCTCAGAGAAACATGTCCTTGTGTCTCTGAAGTTAAAACTGATGCAGATTAACAGCGATCACATGGTTTATACACATCTATCAGACAATATCCGCAACAGTTTGAAAACACAGTTATAACATAAACATATGTTTATTTTAAATTCAAAAGCGACTATTTTATTCCCTTTTTACACCAAATTTTGTGAGTTTTTTAACACGGGTAAACCTGCTAAAAGAAGGTGACTGACTCCTTTCACACTGCTGCACACGCACGCGCACACACACACACACACACACACACACACACACACACACACACACACACACACACACACACACACACACACAGAGCTACTAGCTGCCACGCTGACTCAGGGTCAGTGCTCCTGTAAAGTGTCGGAGCTTCAGTCGGCGACTGTGTGTTTTTAAAACTTATTTCGGGGCTGCAGCAGCTCATGTGCTCCGAAAGACGTCACGACATCACCGCCGATCAGAGCCGTAGCCGATAAAAACCCGTGACTGAATAATCCTAAATCTGTAAACTATGAAAGATATTGATTTTACAAGTAAGTAAAAGAAGAAGTTGGAGCCAGAGATCATTTTTAAATGATAAATGACTTTTCCTGTCGCTCCATTTACCTTTGCAGCCTGAGACCGAACCTGTGAACGCCAGCAGAGCACGGCGTTAATCTGTGTTGGTTGTGCTATTACCAGAGTTTGATTCTAATTTCATCTTGGCATGACTGAGTCTCTGTGTTGCCCACGAGCAGATTTTCTGTGTGGACGGAGCTGATTTGAATTGTTAAAAATGGTGCAGGCATATGGGCCACCAGAAGCACATGCATATGCAACAAATGACAGTTTCATCTGTGCCGACCCAAAGTCAAGAAATCCTCCAAAGTCAAGTCAGCTCTCACATTTAGTCGCCCCCCCCCCCCTTGCACTTCCTGCCCGTTTGACACGTGTTACGGCGTCCTTCTGAAAACTCCACAAAGTGTCGCCGGCTCTGTGGGATCGTTTTAAAAAGACACAGCGGGGGGAAATCTGATACAACGAGTTCCAGTAACTTCATCCGTTCTTTCTGCTGTAACTGACTCTCTCCGCTTTTTCGTTCCGGTGACAAATACATGAAAAAGCTGAATATAAGTAGTTCTCTAAACTAAACCATTTTGTCTTATTTGGCCTCCCAAGCACGAGGAAGTGCTGGCGGTCAGATGTCTGTCTACCTGTGAACCCGTGTGTTTTGGCATCGGTTCCTGTAGTTAATGTTTCTCTGCTAATCCAGCGGTTCACACGGGACAGGAAATATAAAAGGGCAGGTTCAGACAGATTACTCAAAACTAAAATTCAGCTTTTTCCTGTAACTGTATCCGTGTCCACAGAACAAACTTTCAACACATTCATGAAGGACTATTTCTTCACTAGAGGGCTGATTCGATGCCTTTTGATAAAACTGGAGTCACTACAAGACAGACTGTGAACACGTAATGTGCTTGTGACTTCCTTAAACAATTAACAATTAACAACATATCCTCATTATGTTGAGAGAAAACATGATGGTATTTGCTGTTGGTGTTTAGTTGCATATAAACATGCAAACGTTGCAGCAGGACATTTTTACAGTTGAACAATAAACTTTGTTTGTTTGACAAAGTCCAACTCAAGTTCCACTTACAATCTTTTTTCTGGAGCTTTTTAACTGTGCTCCAGATGTGCGAGTTCATCCATTGTACCGTTTAAAAGTTTAACCGTAAACATTCATTGGTGACCAACTCAAGGTCCACTTACATGCTTTTTCACAGATGCATCTACAGTTAGCTTATATCAGGAATGACAGTTTGTTGGTCGCCGCTTCAGCTGACCAGCATGTCTTCAGACAGCAGAGCTCACGAGAGCGGCTGCTAACTGCTCAGCCGCCAGGACACGGTTGAAAAGTTGAGGCCACAAACTGAAACAACAACTTTTAAATGAAACTCTGAGATCTTGTGACGTGAGGTGAAGAAGAGTTTTTCTGTTTCCTCTGTTTTTCTGAACCTGGGAAGGAGCTTATCGCACTGACTTTAGGGAAACATTTAATTATTAATATTCAGTCTGTGTTTAATCTTAATGATCGGGTCATGATTGGTTTTAAAAAAGTACAAAGAAACCTTGAAGAAACCAAAGCTCCTGGTTTTCATTCAGCTGCTTCCCTCAGAAGGATAAACAAAGGCAGTTGTGTGAAAACCACTTCAGCGTTCAACAATAACCCCTCTGGAGAAAGTCAGAGTGAGAATGCCCCTTTGCCTCAGCGTCACGGAGAGAAAACACAGCATGTCATTTAGTCTGACGAGGTGCAGGAGTACTTACCTTGCAGCCCTCACATGCACTGACACCGTAGTGGTATCCGGAGGACTTGTCCTGGCAGACGAAGCAGGGCTTGTAGACTCTCGGAGGGGGCGGCGGCGACGGCGGGCTGGGGACGAGCTCCTCGGAGCTGGTGCTCTGTGTTTCAATGGCTGCGGGAAATAAAAACAAGAGGAGGAAGATGAGGAAGACGAGGAAGCTCGTTTTGAAATTATTAATTTAGACAATGAAACTAGGAAAAGACATTTATACGTAAAAATGAAGAGAGAATACATCAAAATATCTAAGCAAATGTAGGATGGACTACCATGACATTTGACCATTCATGTTCCCCTCAGGGTGAATTATTGTCTTAAAGTTAAATATTCACACTAATACTACAGGTTAAGACCAAATTAAATGAAAGCTCCTCCAGTGTAAAGGTCTGTGTCCATGTGTAGTGTGATTATAGATCAGGTCTAGCTTCTATATTAATACTGTGAAAGTATCAAAGCCTCAGTCCACAGAGAAATGCACACAGCCTGTATTCAGAAACTGAGCCTTAAAACCAGCCGTCAGGACTTCTGGAACTTTGTGATGTCACAACAAAGCAGTCACCAAGCCCCGCCCACCTGGACCCACCATCCAAACCTTTACAGGATTTAGTTTCTCTGAGTGTTTTTACCTGAAATCTGCTATATTTTTATTGGATTACTCAGAAAACAGTCAGCCAATCAGAAGAGAGGCTCAGAGCCTCCTCTCTTCTGATTGGCTCACCGACCTGTTGTTGCTAGAGCTCCAGAGAGAAGCCTGTTCCTCTCTAATGAACCAAGATAAAAAGCTTTCTGAAGAATGTGGAAGAAGAAGTGAAAGGTCAACAGGAAAAACAAATCCCAGAAAGGAGTTTGAGGACACATTACACAACCGTGTTTATCTAAGATGTGCTTTTAATTTGTAATCTTCAGATACAAAAATACTAACAATGCTTCAACATAGAGGCCAGCAATCACAGCACACTTAGCATCCTGAAGTGAAAATGTACCAGATCTTGAATCTGTGCTGAGACCCAGCTGCTGTCCTCATGAACGCAACTTCTCCACATAGAAAATGGAGAACAGTCTCTCCAGCATCTCTGCTGATTAGATTACATTCTTCCGTACTTCATCAGAGTAAACTCAATTACTGATGGTAAGGGACAAGCTCTTATAATTACTGGACCATCGTCCTTGCATGGAATTACCTGGCGGTTTAATCTAATCTCCTGCTACATTCTCCCTGTGTGACTTTTTGCGCACGTCGAATTTGCAGCTTTGCATTTGGCAACTTCAGTGACTCGAGGGAAGACTTAACAAGTCGGCGGCACACACAGCGCTGTACACGAGGATAAATGTTACCTCTGGAATAAGGGATGAGAAAGCAAAATGACCAGGAAGGTTAATTAAAATCTATCAATTCTCACTCTTATCTGAGTTTGAGGAGAAGTTTGGGCGGCAAGGAAAAGTCTCTGTGACTTGTTATGAAACAGCGACGGCATCAAACGCTTAAAAGTTCTGCGAAATCTTTAAGCAGACTCACATGAAGTTGACATAATGGTGCTGGGTTAGGATTTAGAGAAAAGTTTGCTGGTGTGGATTTAAAGCGGTGTTCATCTGAGAATAAATAACTTCAGTGGGAGAAGTCAGCCACGTTATTTCTTCAACGACTGCAGCGTGACCCGGGTTTCATTGACGAGGACGGAGAGACAGACGTTCGTTTTCTCTGAAGTGAGGTCATGTCGTTGCTCTGAATGCACCAAACGCTTTCCCTCTGTCGCTGGCAGAGAGCGGTCAGAAGCAGCTTGCACATAAAGATGTACGATGAGACTTCACACTGGAGACGAGCCAGCGGTCTGACACACAAAGCCATCTGATGGGGAGGGAAGCGGGAACACACACACACACACACACACACACACACTGCATTTTGTGTTGTTATTTCATCCAAGTATATTAAGCGCATGCTATTGTAATCTCCTGCCTTTGCTTAAAATGCTACAGAAAAAAATATCTTTATTTTTCCTGCTTTTTAAAACATGAAAATATCAATAGCAACTGAATTTACATATATAATGTAAAATAACATAAAAAAACCTGTAACTGTGAATAACCATAAAAGAATTCATACATTGATTCATACATTTGCAGATTTATTATAATTTCACCAAAAATATATTTTTTATTTAATAGATGAAACTGTTAAATTCAAGTTTAATACTCCTTATATATATATTATATATAATTAGCAACAATTACCAGTAAAATAAGAATATATCTTATATCTTATTTAATTATGGAAGTTTTCGCAACAAAAACATTAATTAATATATTAAATAAATGTGTTTTTATCATTGAAAACAGCAAAAATTACTGTAATTTCACAGATGGTGACTTGTCTTATATTTCTGTAACTTTTAAAATTTAGATTAACTGCTAGCAAGTTGGCACGTCCAGACGAAGTGCAGGACGATGGACCAACAAAATCCACGCTTGTGTATTCCCAGCGGTTTCTAGGGCAAGATAGGAACCATGAGATGTCACAACAACTTCCCACCAACCCTCCTCATCTTCAGTGTTAAGGCTGTTCCGAAGCCAAGGTTGCAAGCATCAGCATGAACGAAATGAAAAACGGGGCGTGTGAAATCGGGGAACCTCGAGAAAGGTGCTGATGTGATGCAATTTTTTCGAAACATCCATGGCTTCCTGATATTCATCGTCATCCTAATGAAAAAGGTGCATCCATCCCGGTGGGCACGTGGCTCAACATGGCAGGTGAAGTCCTGGACGAAGTGGAACTGAAGTGGATCGAGGAAATGACTTCCCCGTCTCACAGCAGTCTTGAGTCAAGCGACTCGTCAACAAATGGCAAGGGGGTACGAGTCTTTTGGCGTGACGTGATTCAAACCCCTGACGTCCGCACAGAACCTTGGATCAACACTGTTTCAGTCACATCCAGGGCAGTCCATGGACCAGACTCAGTGATGGAACATCTGCCGTATCTGGTCCTGAATGAAATGGTTTTTTAGGTGAGGAGACGTGCGATGAGGTCAAAGATTGATTGATGGGCTTCACGTCTTTCACATTTTCAGCCATATTAGTTTGTCCGAGGTGACCGTCAAACATGGTGATGAAACAGGTGAGAAGACCGCACGGGGGCCAACCTTCGTCTCTCCTCGAGTTTTTCTTCAACTACCTTCAGCTTTTAAGTGGATGGAAAGATGGAAAGATGGAAACCTCATGGATAAGCAGATATAGCTAATGGATGGATGAATGTTACATATATTGAGAGATTATATATAAAGTTTACAGTAGAGGACACTACATATAGAGCGCTGTTGATGAACACTATTGTCCACAAAGAATGAATATGCACAAAGGAAACAGAGAAGGTCCTCACAGCTGCATAAAGTCTATTTTTTTTTAAAGGAGTTATATGAAAGTTTTGCTATCGCTACATAGCTAACGTTAGCATGAACAACTGTCTACCAATCTAGAAGAAACTTCATTCCTTTACCTGCCAAAGAGCTGTTTCCAATGGTAGAAAACAACCCCCTTGTTTTGCTTCTATTTCTATCACTTCTCTTCTTCTATGGAAGTTAGCATGCTAACCAGCTAGCACTGGCTGCCAGAAGCTCTCAGCAAAACAGGTAAAAAAAGTGACCATGCTCTATTTTTGTTTTACTATAATTCTTCTTCTTCCTAATCTCTCTGTTCCACCTTCTTGGAATTTTATTGATGCTGTGTTTAAACTTGTGCAGCAGCTAGCAATTACTTTGATTATTTCATTTCATGATCATGCAGCTCACAGTGTGTGAACGGTTGCTTGTCTGAATAAAAGAAGTGGCTCATTTTCCCCCAAAAGCTCCATTCATCCCTTTCTCCCCTTTCCACAAATCACAATATCACAGAAGCTCCCGTATCAAACATACAATAAGTGAAACAAGGTGCTCACATCAGGTGATGCTGATGAGGATGTATGACTACTGGAGCAAAAAACAACTTTTGCCACTCATATGCCTCGGGAACATTTGTGATAGCTGGGTAGTCCCACAATGAGGAGAGGCTGCGCCAACAATTCAACCCCACTGCCTATTTGAAACTCATGGCTGCATCTGGGAGGCAGCGTGACCACCTGCAGACAGATGGGATGCATAAACGTAGACGCATTACACCACCTCAGAGCCTGTGTGTGTGTGTGTGTGTGTGGATGAGTGCATGGGGGTGGTCAAAGGGTACCTGTACGGTAGTGTATAGGCCCTATCAGGTGCAGGGGAGCCTTTTTCCATTTTCTGCATGATTAAACTTTGAGTCGACTTCCCTGCATGTTAACATACAGAGAAAGCTCCATTAGAGGAATAAAGGCTGGTGACAGACAAGCGCATACGGCGAGTCTGGCTTAAGAGCAGGCAGAGAAAAATGTGTGGCTGCCACGGCTGCTGAACCCTTAGCCTCTGGCTGAACCTACCAGAGGGGTCAAACAGGAAAGCACACACTCCCTGCTGGAGGCTGCAGGCTGAATGAGGGGAAAGTCTAAAGAAAACAGCTCCTCTGATTGCTCTGTCCACCGGGACTGAGCCCGCTGACAAAAGGACAGCTCTGATACACGCAGCTACTGATACTGTCTTTTGTTAAATATCAGTCAGTGTGAGGGATGAGCTCAGAAAAACACACAGCTGATGAAGGTGTACATGAACTGACAGCTTTACTCTTTCAGTTTATCTCCACGGACAACATGAAGACGTGGTCTGATAATCTCATCATGGCGTGGTGCAGCTTTGTCAATCATGTGCCACTGCCTACAACAACTCATATTTTAGTACTTTTGTTACTTTAAAAAAATTTAAAGCTCCATGTTTTCTTCTTCTTCTGTGTTTTATTTGAAGTGTTGATTCATAAGAAGATATATTTGTGGTTTTTAAGAACCAAAAACCATCTCAGTGTAGTTTTACATCTCCTCTCTCAGGCTTCTCTCTGGAGCTCTAGTATCAACAGGTCGGTGAGCCAATCAGAAGAGAGGAGGCTCTGAGCCTCTCTTCTGATTGGCTGACTGTTTTCTGAGTGATCCAATAAAAACATAGCATATTTCAGGTAAAAAAAACACTCAGAGAAACCAAATCCTACAAGGTTTGGATGGTGGG